TGGTACCTAGGTGGGAAAGCTGCGGATTACAAGATAGGAAACAAAATGCGGAGAGATGAGAACGAACATTTATCAGAGTTGCATTTTCATCAATATTAGCTAATATATTTTTATCCATAAAAAAGACTAACTTTCAAGTGTTCAAAACGATATATCAAATGTTATGGTTAGGTAGCAGAAGGTACAATAAGAAAATAGTGCGGAAACTATTTTTTTTTAATGATCAAGACAAATAACAGATTCAATAAAAATAAAAAATGTGGAAGCTATTCTAGCCACCATCTGAAAGTGTAATGTTGTTCTTCTGACAAAATATACCCCTTGCAAATGGGTCCGTATAGGGTAAACCTACCAACTGGAAAATGTCCTTTTCACTTTGAACGAGCAACCGTTTCCTATCCATGCTAAAGGTACTGCTCGAGTGAGCAGTCGCATCGGAAGCATTAGGATCGTTCCGATTGTTGTCCAACTTTTTATCACGAGAAGCGCAGCATAGGAAGATGCCGTTCAGATTCAACTCCAGGCCTCTTTGTAGGGCACGAAGCGCGACGTAAGCGGTAAACGCTGCAGGGCCAGTTCGAAAGAACCTCCGCACATGTAACGCATGCCATGGCATGAAGTCCAGCTTTGCTTGGTGCAGCTTCATGCGAGCACGCACCGCAGAATCTCGAATATGAAAGGGAGGAGGCCCCATCGGATTATGGGGGTCGTAACGTAGCGTGAAAATCTTTGTGGACTGGCGCTTCTCGTGCCACTGATCGCCCTTGGGAATGCGACCAGCGGCGATGTAGCCGCTACGAAACAACCCCTCCAGGGCACGGGTATAGCGGAATTTCACCGCGTAAGGTACAAAATCCGTATGGGATACCGCCTCACTCCGTGAGCACCACTGAAAGGGAAGCTGACGAAGCAGCTCCTTGGCGACAGGATCCAAAAGAAGGCTATCATCACCATCCCCATGAGCCCCTGCGATCCTCTGGAGAATTGCAGACGGAAATGCAAAGGAGTCGTGCTTAACTCGCTGCTCATAACCATTACTGAGGGGTTTTGTATCAATGGGTGGATCCTTCACGGCTTCCGGCCCCGCGACTTGCAGTGCCTCGATCTCACGTATAGCGGTCTGTGTCAGAGAGAGGCTAAACTCGGCAAGCCTGCCAACAGGAGCCCCACGCCGTGTCGCCCCACTCAGCTGCACAACAAACCCGTACGGCTCCAGTAATTTTCGCAAAAGGGCCGCATGGTGGCAGGCCTCATCATAGCTCACGTCGTCATGCAGATAGTTCGGCAAGTTGGGGAGTGGTGCGTGGGGACCGTACAAGGCGACGTCGTAAGCAGGCGCCCGAAGGGGTGTTGGTACCCTTTGATCCCCTGTCACACGAGTTTCGGCATTCACATCCTTTGCAGCCTCCTGAGCCATGGTGTCTATCCGTCGGAGAAGAAGTACCTGCGCTATAGGATCCACGCGGAGCCTCTGCGGGCCGTAGCTCAGCATTTCCTCGACCGCCCACGAGGAGCGGGAGATGCGGCGCGCCGCTTCGTAGAGGATATCACTACTAAGAGACCCAGACAGAGAGGAATCGGCATCCGTGGACGAGAGTGTTGCCAAGAGAGCAAGTTCTTGCACAAGGATATGATTGGCCAAGTGACGCGCACATGGCAACTTCATGGGTGATTTTTTGTCCCTTAAAAGAGAAAAGCTCGCTTTGTTATGATGTTGGATAACCTTCTAGTGAATCATGAATTTAGACACGAGATCACACCATCTTGAGAAAAAGAGGAAAAGGGGAGGTTAGAAAGAAGCTGGACAGAATGAGCATCCATTGTTACCACCAGAAACAAGTAAAAATGAGCTGAAGCTAGTCTTAGCCATTATTTCACATGATGTTGCTTTTCTTCGTCCATTTTGTTTGCATTATGATCATTGAAACAATTTCTTTATCAACATGCTTGAAATGGAAACCAAAAACCCAGCAGTACTAAGGAGAAGCATACCGAATGCACCCTACAATAGAGTTAAAAAGAGGATAAGGGAAAACAAAATTTCGCTCCCTCTATCCGGGGTGCCCCCCTTTGATAGAATACATGTACATAGAAAGAAAACTACCCCCAAAACAAGAAATCAACCACAAACATTTTACCTAATCAGTTGCATCTGCTATAGCTGGAACAGCTTGTACTACAGGTGCTTCATCCATAACTTCCCCGCGAAGATGGTTCTTATTGGTCTTATACTTCCTCAGAGTGGGCACAGCCCTGTTGACTCGCTGCGGCCCATCTAAGATCACCATCAACTTACGGCTCTGATCGACTCCGGAAGTGGTATCAGTGAGGCGTGTAGAGTTTGAGATAGGTAAAGTTCCGGTCGGCATATCAATTTCCACTGCATTCGCCATGTCCTGCACCTCGAGCCGCCTTTTCTGCACTTCCGTCATCTCGGGTCGGACCTCCAGGAGATTTCCCACTGCCCAATCCTTTTCAGCTGCTAAGAGATAGTGCGTCTGCCAAGAAGCGGCCTTTGACTTACCATCCAGCGCACGATACCGCGCTTCATATATATAAGCCATATCGCCCACACATCGCGACCACCACTGCACATTGTCCACAGCATAGCGCACGACACGGCAGCGACGATAAAAAGCATCGTTCCGCTGGCGTTCAATTTCTTGACGACAAGCAGATAAAAGGTCCCCTTGAGCAGCCTCCGCGGCGTCGAGCATCTGCTGGAGCTCTTTGCTCTTTTGCTTAGCAGTGGAGACCATTTCGTACCGCGTAGCCACCGCTTCCCGAAGCTGTTTGTGGCTAGCACGGAGCTGAGCGAGGGAGAGCTGATCCTGCAGCAGTTCCTGGGATACACGCGTGTACTTGGCCTGCTCGACGTACAGCTCCTTGACCACCTCTCGCACACGACGCGCCATCTTTTCCTGGGCAGCCTCGGACTTGGATAAGATGAATGACTTAGCTCGAATGGACTCCTCGAGCGTGGCGAGATCCTTCTCGAACTCGCTGGTTGCACGCTCAACGAGGTTCACTATTTGTGATCCAGATCGCTCGATGGCCTCTACACACAACGCCGCATCAGCTTGCATCTGTTCCATGGATTGCCTGGCTAAAGCCGCAGTGTTGTCAAGATGAGTACTCAATTTATCAAAGTGTTCTGTGGCGGCCACCGTCAGTTCTGTGTAGCCTTCGTGAATTGACCTATACCCTTCCTTATGAGCCTCTAGCTCTTTAAACAGTAGATCCCACATCTGACGTGCCATGGCAGAGCGCTCTTCCTCACCCAATAAATCTATGTTGGTCGGATTAGAAGACGCGGTCTCGAGAAATTCACACAACTGGTCAACGGAGCCCTTCACAAAATCGTATTGCTCTACTAGCTTCCCTTCCATTGCTTCAAATGTGTTTGGCAAAGTGAGGTCGCGTGTGATGAATTGAGCAATAACCTGGAACGGCACATGCAGGGGAGTATTGAAGAGAATGCTACTTTGAAGCATTGCCTCGATGCTTGGTAGTTTGTTTGATTGGATTTGTTGTAAATCATTGAGAAAGCGTGTGAAGTGTTTTGGCAGTTTATCACGTTTCTGCAGGATGGGAGAAAACAAACGTCGGATACAGTAGGGCCGCTTGCTGGGATTCATGAGAGTCTTGTCGGATAGACGTCGCGCAACGCGTGCCCTGCACGCTAAAACCGGAGTATCGGACTCATTCACAGACGGCAACGGCGTTGCTAAACCGCTACTGACATGCCCGGGGTCAGGAACTTCCGCAAGTTCATTAGGAGCATTCCTTGGCAGTACCGAAAAATCTAGGGTTATTCTTGCCTCTTTCAATGCCGTTAAATGGCTTTCATCCTCTTTACCAATGGACACATCTAACTTAAAGCGCCGAGCGATATCTTCAGCAGCCCAGAAGCACATAGACTGGACACCCTGCAGCTGCTCATAAATCCGTTCTTCATCCAAAAACGCTCGACGGATTTTGTTCTGTGCTATGAGTTTCTCCACTCGGAGCCACGCCTCACCGACCTCCGATTTCAACTCTTGTGTTCGGTGGTGTTCATCCTGGAGGAAGCTCATAACATCTTCACGGTAGGAGGCCGGGGCCATGAAATCCCATAGCACTCGGCTTATCTTGTTGCTCGCAGTAACGAAAGATGGATGGACCGTGGCGGAGGTGGGTTCTGATTCTTGCGATGGATGGTCAGATATCAGTGAGGCTAACTGTTCAAAGAAAAAGGAAGACATGCAGACGGGCTGAGCTTGCTGCTCCACTCCCTTCATTGTGGCTTAGAGGGAGGAAGTAATAAGTAGTAAGCAATAAAGAGTCTGCCTAGTGCTTTATGTCCCTTATCAACTTTTCTAATCCGAATCATAGAGACATGAAATATGAAAAAAAGACAATCAGAACAAATAGGGTTTACTCAATCCATCATTACTTTTAGTATCACATTTTATTTTGGGGGAATTGGTATTAAAAGTGCTTCAACTTTTCCACATTGCCATGGAAATAAACGTCCGTGCCTTTCGCAGGGAATGTATGACTTATCCGAGTTATCTTTATATGAAATAGATGAAAAGCTCCCCTTAGCTTCCTTTGCCTCGTCACAGAGAGAATAAGCGCACATACACGCTTGTGAAATCAAAAAATAACGCTAGAGAGGGGAATAACATATATATATATATATGCTTCAACCAAAAGGTGAATGAGAATGCACCAAAAATATATATCAGAGAAGGAAATAGTGACAACTCCTAATTAGATTGACACAAAAACAAAGGTAACTCCCTGATGCTAGTGCACCACAGGATGCCACCTGGAAGTCGGGCGTCGTTTAGCATGGTTGACCACACAAAAGGAGCAAAGAAATCATAACTATTTGGGTTTTCCTCGTACATGTAAGCAAGTTCACAGGTTCGCTTACGAGCTAGATTAGGGTTCACTAAGCTATTTTCCATTAAGGTTGACTTGTTTTCTGACTTCATCCAAGATTTGATGTCGAGAAGACTGCCGGACATCAGAGGACCACCTCGAACATCTTCACTAAAGGGCTCTTGTGACAGCTGAGAAGAGCTTTGTTCTTGATTATATCGGCGAATGATATTAATAATCTCACTTCGTCTGCTTGTGTTTGTGGTCCTCGCGATCTCCGCTTCGTAGCTGAAAATGCACTTCAAAAGGCCAGACAGTGATTTCTTCACATGAGGTATGAAATACCCTGAGTTTTCTAAGAACTCACTCGCATTCGCTTTCAGATTGGCGCCTTCATCATTATATGAGCCAAGGTTAATAATTTCATCTCGATGATAGAGCAACTCATAAATAAGGCATTCATTATTGCGACTAAGGTCGCGCAGGAGCATCACCTCAAACGCATCCACAACAATGTCTAGGAGCGAAAGAAATAGTTGGGCGTCGTGTTGGATTTCCTCAGTGGACCTACTCATTGGTAATTGAATATCCCTACCAAACTGCATGCCGCTGTATGGGGAAAAGTTTTGTTGAATCACGTCGTCCTTCAGCCCTATATCCGGATTTTTATCACAGGGGCCTTTTGTGGCCTGCTGATATTCTCTCTCGAAGAGCTGCAGCTTCTTGAGAATGACAACGATGAGATTGAGAAGTCGCTGCGATGTATACGAATCGATATCGCGCACATGGATTGCTATGTTATTCATGCCTGAAGCGTAAATAGTCGCCAGCTGCTCGTTTCGGTCCTTGAGAGCCTTGATAATACCAACACACATGACAATAAGGCAAGACGCACCCACCGAGAGTTCCTGAGAGGAAGTGCGCCTCAATGGCAGACTCTGCCGACTGAACGCACTAAGGACCTGTTGGCTTACAACTAGATCCTGGGAGAGCATCAAGAGCAACGTGGCGGTCATGAAAGATATAAAAGGGTACGAAAATTGCGTCATAGCGCGCATCATACACGCTAGCGTGTTCGAATTGAGAGCGTGTTTGGCGATATCCACCCCAAAACAGTCATCCCTGGAGCTTCCGACACTTGCGAGAGGAGTGTTGGGAACTTCGTGAGAATCCTCCTGCGTGCAGACAGCGTAGCCAAGGTGTTGTAAAGATTGGATAACTCTCACTACTTGTGTATGATCGGAGGCAAGTACGTCGGGCAAAAGGCTATGGTGATCATGCAGCAAAACGTAGAGCAGAGCACACAGAAAGGAGCAGCTCGCCAACCGCTTCGAGATAGCCTCCAGAAGAGCGGCGAATATTACTAATTCACCATCCTTCAGAGTTTTAATGTACTCCACTACAGGGTTGACTTTATTACCCCTTTGATATATTACTAATAATGACAGCAACTGTGCGAGATGACGGAATGTTAGCTCCCAATAGCTGCAGTTATCTTGAACCATCGGGCTGACTACATCTTTTGAGTGCTCTGAGTTCATGCTATCGACGTCTTTGCGCGCACCTGTCAACCAGGAAAACAATTTTTCGAAATTCGTTTTTTGGTCAGCTTTATATAGTTGCAGCTTCATTTGTTCCGGGCACTTATCCCACTCGATAATACGAACCAGAAGGACCCCCACTAGGGCCTCCAGCTGCCTGTAAGATAGAATCATTTCTACAAACACGTCAACATGAGTCTTTTCGAAACGCGTAGTATGATGAAGGGAGGAAGAGCACATGCTCAGAAGTAAGGATACCACTTCTGCGTGCGTGATCACCGTACTGACGTCAAGCTTTACATAAGTTACGTAATCCAAGAGAAGGTCGCACAGTTTTTGAACGTCACTACTGCCTTGGACCCAAAGCTCACTACTAGAGTCCAGTTCAGTCCTATCGTCGCTGATGAGCTCCAACAGTGCCATCGAGCGGCCTCGCGTCAGCGCATGGACGCGCCGCAGAATCAGCCCCGTGAGACGTAAGCAGGTGAGCTGCGTTTCATTCGCCACGGAGGACGAGGCAACAATAGGGGCCATTATCTTCCCGCAATAGCGAAGAAGCCAACTTAAACACCGGTTTTGCACTCCGTGTGCGACTAGTTTCATGACGATGGGCCTCGCAACCGCCTCCAACTCGATACCATAGGAAATTTCTTTCGAGAAAAGCGCTAAATGTACTGTAAAATCATCCTCAGTAGGGTGGTCAAGACTGGTGAAGACTTTTTCATAATATTCGGTGGCCTCTTTACTCTTCGAAGTACCCATTAGAGACTATTAGTATTTGTTACAGAATAGCTAAACAAAGTTCTTCGAAATAGTAATTTGGCCAATGCTGAATGGATATTATTACGATATGTGAGATGACATTAAAAAAAAAACTCCATGAGACTGTGAGGATATTAGTAATTATAACTTAAAGGGCAAACATCAAAAGAGATACAACATGTGAGGAGCTTAGCGATGTTTGCTCAACCTATTTGTTCGTCATTCGTAAAGATATTTAAAATGGTTAAGATCGTCGAGCTTTTCGTTGCTCTAACTCGGCGCGGCGTCGCTCCTGACGATTGCGTGGGGGTTGGTTACCATCCGCTGTGTCGTGCGTGGTGTCACCACTTTCGATACCCAACATGTTTTTTAGAAAAGGGCGTGCAACGGTCCAACCTTTGTAGATAATCGTAGCCGGAACAGGAAGGTAAAATACGAAGAAGGCAGTATGGATATTGCAGAACGTCTGGACCGCCCAGCAAACCCAAAGCAGATCCTGAATAAAGCTATAATAACCTAATTCCTTAGGGTCAGACACGTCAGGGCAGCTAAGAAGCACTCCATTTGAGTCAAAAGATGGCTTAGCGAATCCCTTAATGAGACTTAGAGCTGCATACTCCTGTCCTGCCCAGAATACGATGGCCACCAAATCAGAAATGGAAGGCAACCCTCCCCTACGGTATATAATTAAGCCCGTATAGAGCAAATTGACAGCCACTGTGATGAGCGTGAAGACCTTCATACGCACCTCATTACGTCGCCAGTTTTTCTTCGCGGTTTCCTTCGCCATAATTTGGACTTGGATTCAGAATCTTTTCCCACAAAATTTGAGTATATGTTTTTATTGGTGTACCTATTTTGTACAACTTAAGCTATCAGGCCTTTACATGCACACAAAAGGGGATAAAGTCATTGTAACAACACGGTTTCAGTGATAAATATAAAAGTGGTACCGTGACTAGACAACAATTATTGTGCTGTTGTACATACATGACAACTACTTGAGATTGACAGTTCGCTAAGAATAGAGAGCCTCTGAATGGTTGGATCTATTTTTCATTTCTCTCACCTATGTACGTAATACGAACCATGTCTTGATTGTATGGACGCGTGTATTGGTCCTGCCGATAGGGGTCCGCGTAAAGCGCTACGGCTATCATCATGGAAATAATAAAGATTAAGAATCCGAAGTGAATTTCTTCTGCCGTATTTACAGCTTCTTGACTGCATTCATTAAGTCTTTCAGGCACTTCTTGTGGTGTTTGGCTCCGTGGGAGGCCCGCAAACATAGCGCCCAGTCCCTCATTACTATTCTGTGTTTCCTCCTTAATCTTGTCATAGAAAGTTTGAAATGAACCAGAGCCCATGCACCCCCACTTTGTCAATGGGAAACGTCTTAAAACGGAGCTATTTTTGCCTAAAAATTGTAACCTACCCTTAATCATGAGTATCCCGATGTATCACCGGTGGTAACACAACGTGGCCCCTACCTTCATTTTACACCAAAAAATGAAGAGCAAGATTTGTAGAAATAAAGAGAGCGTGTATAGTTGAAACCTTTATTTTAAAGGTCGAGAAATTTCCGTTTGGATGATATTAAGTTCATAGATGTAGCTATCTATCTATCTATCTATATATAAATAGATAGATAGATAATATCATTCAAAACCAAACTATAAAGCATTGGTACTTCGATTTAGTCTTAAGCAGGTATCTTTGTTGTATAGCAAATTGTGAAATTACTTGTCGTAGCCAAGATCGAATAATAATACGTCTACAAACGATATCTCTTCTCTCTTGTCTATTCTATAAAACAGCAATATAAACCAAGTCAAGGTTAATTACAAGAAAGGCGTAAAGATATATATTTACTGTCTGTCTGTACGTCCTGTGAATATTTATGAATCTTCTAAACGTCAACTCTTAAGTTGCTCGGCTCTAGGTGCAGCTTCCCCTGCATCTCCGTGCATGTACTGTCGTAGGGCATTTGACACCTTGGAAAGTGGAGTTGATTCCGCCAAGAGGGAGTGCATTTTCGCCTCGATCTCCTCCATTCGACTGTCCACCAAACGTTTTACGCGCGCGAGGCAGACCTCCTCGACGCCTTCAAGCTTACCGACGGACTTCGCGAGCCGCTCGCGGAGCCTATCAACCTCACCTTTGAGCGCGGCGCCCAAGGCCTGCATCTCCTCAAGCTCTGCGTTGAGGGATTGCACGCGATCCGCCGCGCACGCCTTCATCTCAGCCTCCACGCGGCGGATCGCCGCCATCTCCTCACGGAAGCCGGCCTCAAATCCATCGCGCTCGCGCGCGTTTTGCCGCTGGAGCTCCTCCAACTCACTCTGCAGCACCTCGCAGGCGCGGCGGTGGTGGCGGAGGCGGTCTGCCCGCGCGCGCGCCGCTTTGATTGCCGCCGCACCGTGGATTTCGCCGAGCCGATCCGCGATCTCTACGGGATGGGTTTTTTCCTCCCCCACGGGCTGGGTTTTTTCTCCCTCCCCGGGATGGATTTTCTTCTCCTCTGCAGCTTCCGCAAGGGGGACGCGAGGGGCTTCGGAGGAGTGGGGAAACCTCGTCGCGAGTGCAGAGGAGCGACGCGGTGCGTTGCGCTTGCGCGCTGCGATCCACTCGTGCACGCCACTCGATCGAAGGCGCACGAGCGTGGCTTGCGTGAGGAAGACGTGTAGGGTATCCCGCCCGCTGGACAGGTCCATTACTTGAGAAAGCTCGCGCGGGATCACGTTCAGGCGAAGCCCTAATTTGTGATCCTTGGACAGCTTAACCGAGCGGATATGCTCAAAGGGGATCGAAAAGCTCGCGCCGGTCCCCCCAGGAAGCATCACCACCACCAGAAGCGACGAGAAGTATAGCGTTGTATGGCGGCATACTTCCGTGCCGGAAACTTCCATTCGAACAATTGTGAAAGGTAGGATGCGCGAGACGTTGAACTCCGCGTTGTAGCCATCAAGAAGGTTCTGTATGCTGCGCAGCAGGGTGGCATCGTTATGCAGGGTACTGATGCCACGTCGTAGGTAGTCATTCATTTGCCCCTGTGCTAGCGCACCACTGTCATGGACATATAGCCGGAAAAGTATTTCCGTGCACTGCATTTGGAAAAAAAAGTCAGAGGACCTCTCAAGAGCCGCGGCTATTTTCCCGCATTCTACCTTGAAACGGTTTTTGTTCGCAAAAGAGCCTCGTAAAAGTGTAATTAGCGCACTTGCACAGCTACGGTGGACTCGGCAATCATCTGAATGTTGAGATGTGTCCAGCATAAAGCTCAATAATGACTGCCCTATAGTCCACCCAAGTGAACTCTTCAGTTTTGGTTCGCTACACAAGGCATGCACTACCTCGAAAAGTATTTCAATGTCAAATCTTAAACGCAAAGGAGCGCCCTCTCTTGACAGTAGATGCCTAAATACTTCCGCAAATAAATCTACACATGATTCTCCTTCTATAACATGACACATCGCATTACAGAGTCGATCTGGATTGAAAGACGCAGCCTGCGCTAAGATGAAAAGAAATGTTTCCAATGGAATAGGTAATTCTTGCCGGATGCAATACAGACACTTACGGAGAATGACGTGGATGTTGACAACGACATCTTCAACATTCTCACTAGAAATTTCTATCGGTTCCTTTATGTCAATGATAGGTTGTATCAGAATTCTGTCCAATTCAGACATTTTTCATCAATATATATATATATATATATATGTATGTATAAGTATATATCCTAAAAAAAACCTTGGAAAAACCTATCAAGGTCACAAAGTTGACTTCCTTTTACTTATTTAGACCCACGTTCGTGAAAGAGACAAAATAAGGATAAAAAATTGTAACATAACCGCTTAGAGATTTTTCTAACGCTTCGTTTAGCGGTAGTGCCGAATTTAATATGTTTTTATGATTATTCCCAATATTCCCGTTCTAAAGACTTAAGACCCTATTCATAATTCTTCTGAGAAGGCATCACATTGGAAGTGAAGATTCATAGCAATTAGTTTATTCAAAAAAGAGATTGTCAACAAATAGAAAACAGAGCTGGTTACCAAAGACGGGACGAAATCAAGGCATATGTAGGCTAATAGCATTGTAAACAACATCCGATCCTTTTGTCTAATGCAAAGTGAGTAGAGGTTCGTTAAATGGATCATACAGCAGAACAAAGAAGGCATAACATTTACACCTAGGATTGAGCAAGGATCACAAACGAACACATGGAATAAAGCGTTAGCGATAGAAAAGAATAGTACTTTCATGTAACTCAATGGATCAAACGCAGATCTTTCATGAAATTTGTTATACAAATCCAGGACAAAGGTAGCTAATAAAAATAATCGTTTCAGTTCATTTTTCTCCTTCAATCTTGGGCTATGTTCCTCATCGTTCCTAGCTGGCGCAGGGGAATCCGTGCTGTTGCTAATCTGAGGTGGAGAATTTTGAAGCACTGTACTATCACCTTCTTCATATGAATCTAAGGATGTCACACCGTCTCGGTGATTAGATGCTTTATCATTTGCGGTTAGCAATGATGGCAACACATCACGTTCAGTGGTTATGCCACTTAATTGTATAAGATCAGGGAATTTTTCCTCAAGAGCTTTCAGCTCTGTTGCCAGCAAGGGATCCACACTTCCCGAAGGTTTGGAATTTTTTTCACGAAGAAGAACCTTGTAACGTCTCTTGGCCGACAAAAAAGCATGTTCAAGGTTCATGGAATAGTACTTTACACCTATTTTAACTTGGTAATTATAAAGACATATATACTGAAAAAAATGATATAAGTATTATTTTTTAAAGAAGAAATACGCAACGTTGCTGATTCAAGCTAACAAAACTAAATAGATTGAATGTCAAATGTAGTTATTTTATACGAATACTTTTCTAAAGGTAGCACTACTGATTCATTTTACTATAGTTGCAGTTTCACAGCTAAAGTAATTAAATCCGATTACAATAAAAAAATACAAATTCGCTTCTGAGGTTTTATCCTGGATACGTAACTACTTTAAAATCCTGGATTTTTGAGCCTTTTTTCTCTCCTTTAAGTGGACAAATATACTTTCTCTCGAGCCTTCGTCACCTGTGCCGAAAATTAAATTAATTTATATAAAAGCGTAATGTATGCCCTTTACCAAATGCAAAGGCAACAAATTATAACTTTAATAGCAACACAAAAATCGAGCGAAATGAGAGAAAATTGCACCTGAATATATTGAAAAGTTGAGGCATAAGCAATAAATAAGTCTATGCAGTTATGCCAACCTCGAATATAAATAATCAATGAATTACTTAATTAATTGCTTATTAGGTTTTTGAGTTATCTTAGCATAGCCAAGTCGAAGTAATGTCGCAGCCTGGACCGTGCTGTTTGTTGCATGGCAGAAGAACAACGGATAATTGACTGGTGAAACGGCGATTGACCAACGTAAGAACAATAAGCTATAGACACAAAGTACTGATGTCATTTTTACATCGATATCATTTATCGGGCGGGATGAAAAATTCACGATACCAGCAATTGGAACAAGCCAGTTTGCTGCTGCTCCAGCATACCCAACGTAGCGTACAACTCTTTGTGAGACCATTTCAGAAAATTAGTCTTCGTTATTATGATATATGTTTTCCTTTGAAAAAAAAGAGAGATAAAATAAGAAAAAATAAAATGAATCAAAAATATAGCCAAATACTCACATTAGGTATGCAGATACAATATACGAATTTCTGCACTTGAAGAATAAGACACTTTTTTATTGTTTCCTATTTATTTTAAATGTTGAGAAATCTTCTGAATCAAGCTTTCTATTATTTCATCAATATCCTTTACAAGGGCCGGTGGATAAAAAAAGCCTGTTGAGCCGAAATACTTGCCATATTGTACGGTCTTTTCAACTGAAACTAAAGATTTGGGATTTTCAAAGAGACGTCTTGACTCAATAATTTCTGCAAGAAATTTTACTTGAGGTGAATAAGGATAAACAAACAAATGAAATCGTAATTTATGGCGATTTAGTCCCGCAAATTTTTTGATTGCGTTATTTTCAAGTTTACCTGATCCCATAAAAAATACAGAATGCGATTGTTGCATAGCATTATTAACAAGCATACCAGCTACTACACCGAAAAATCCGGCATACGATAAAATATACAAAGGCCAATCTTGTGTAATTTTTTTCCTGTTCAGGAATATAAGGACTCCCATTGACGAAATGAAGACATGAAGAAGGGTTCGCCAAATGTTTACTGGAGACTCCTCATTAATGCCTTCAAATGAAAGATACTCCTGCGCATTTGCACATATAGCACGTCGCACGCTAGAGATATCATTCAGTTTATAGCGACGTACTTGTTTGCTTTTAAGCTCATATCCGAATGTGAACTCTTCAGACATTATTCCCTAGTCTAAAAAGTGTTACTCTATTTATTAAGGCAAGAAGCAAAAGAAAAAAAATACTAAAAAGGGGTTAATCATAATTTGACAAGTGTTAAATTTGTTTTCGTTGTATACCAATACACAATATATTTATTCAATATTTCATGACAACAATATATTTTTTTTATTTCTAATTATGTGTTGTGCAGAGCGAAACCAGGACAACGATACACATAAAAGAATACGATCTATCAACTTCACTTAACATCGCCTTCAATCTTTCGAATATGGACTGATGTTGGCTGGTTTCTATATCCACTTCGTCCCATCGCCCAATCATAGCTGTGTGCATACGCGATGAGAGATCCATCAGGGCTTATATCACCAGCAGATATCGGAACTGGGTCGTTTTCAATTTTGAGTTCAGGTTGCATACTTCTCAGTAGTTTTTTTGTAGACCTGTTTACGGCGGCCAAAACCCCATCACCACCACCCGATATAACTAATGGAGATGAGGGATGATGAACACAGAAGTTGGTCTGGTACATTACATACTGCGTTACGTCAGCTCCCTGTATATGTGCTTTAAAAGTACAACCAGGTTTTTTATCCATTCTCAAAAAAGACAAACGACCTTCAGAGGTACCGGCAGCCACTCCCTCAAAGTCAGAAGAACAGGAAACACATCGAATGTTAAATTTCACTACATCTGGTGGCTTTAGCGTATCCTCCTTGCGCATGGAATCGGTATGAAAAATGTGAACCATTCGTCCGGTCGCTACAGCCATCATTGGCTTTGACCGTTGCACATCCAAAGCAAAAATTGGTTCACCCAAGTTTTCCTCCATAATAAAATTCGGCTGTCGAAGATCCCAGCAACGCAGCTTTCCATCCCAACTACCAGTTATAAGAAGGTCATTAACCTGTGGGTGATTGATGTAAGCTAGGCAGCTTATAGGCAGGTCATGAGAAGCAACAGTTGATTTTTGGTTTGTAGATAAATTCCACATTGTTGCCGTCTTGCTACATCCACCAAAAAATGCTTTCCCATCGTATGAGAAGCTAAGATCAAGGATAGGAGCATCATGAGTCGTCGTAAATGATGGAACCGCCTGTATTTCATTTTGGTTTGATTGCACTTGCCAAACAGAGCAGCTGCAGTCCCATGATGTAACGCCAAGAAGAAATGCTGGAAAACCAACTGGCGAGAATCGAACTTTGCTAACACAATCGGTAGTGGTCTGAGTAAGTTGGTGATTGACAGTCCCAAATGAGAATGGTTTACCTGCTCCAGAAAAGGAATACATAATAATTTGTGCAAGGTATAAATTAGCGCTTGTTAATTTCTATTAGATCAACTAATCTATTAAACCTTCTCGAAGGTGTAAAAAGGCTATAAAGTAGAGAACCATTTGCATTCAGACACACATACCTACTGAAGAGGAAAAGTACTCACTATTACTAAGAGCTAAAATTTTAGAAAAAAATGAAATATACAAATAACTTGTTTTTTGTGTGTAAATAAAACGATAACACAACAGGGTGGGATTCCAAATCTCATGAACACTTTACTGCAAGACTGGGCGCACGCTACAGCGGTATTAAGTCTGACATAGAGTGCTCATTGCGTCTAACTGTACCCCTTGCGCAAAGATTATCTATGCAATGATACCACCCTCACCTATTGCGTCCTTCCTCCCCCCTCTTCCTATCCCCCCACATTTAGCAGAGGTTTATCCTCCGTAGACTTGTAAAGTATATCTCCGCTTGTGGTATTTTTGAAAGGTGGCTCCCAAGATTCCTCACTTAAGGGGGGGGGGGGGGAATAAAATATATTCGACCTGGGGCGGCGGCGTCAGGCACCCTTTCACAATTCAGCTAAGGGAATCGCAGTGAGTTGAAGCTATGAGGTATTATTCTCTTTTATTATTATTATATATTTATGTTTCATTAAAGACGAATATTTCTACTAAGGATTTATATGATCTTTCGTGACTTCTACTGTTTGGTTAGTCATTCTTCGGGAGTACGCCAATCAGTATAGAATGGGTTATGATATGCAACGTATAGTGCTTTTTTCATATCCTACGTCTTTTGTTGAAAAGGTTGCTCCCTATACACGAGGGCTATCCTATGCATTACTATGCAATCAAATCAAATACAGAAAATTTGCGAATAATAAACTCGAATATTTTGCGAAAAAAAATGCGATTCATTCAGCGCCTGGTTGACACATTGGCAAATTAGCCATTAATCGATTGATATATTAGCAGTTTTCTTAAAAGTATACTTTAAGGAGAATCTTTACTACTACTTTTTTTGTCTCCAATGATTTGTAAACCTTTGATGACCTACAAAAATTTAAGGTATATACATCACTCTAAACAAGTGTAGATCGTATCGCTGTATTGAGATTGTTAAGTTTCTTGAATATTTATATTCCTTTTAATCTTTTCCTTTGATATCGTACATATGTATAACAATCATTGCTACTATATTTTGTGCTCAAATCGCAACAACATGCTGTAAATTTCAATCTTTCTTATATCACTAAATTCTCCAACTTATTAATATCCTTTGCTTAACTAGCATGATGGCGTCACTTGTTAATACATATCTTCGGAAAAGCCTACAAAAAGTGACTTCTAGATGTAGAGAGTTAACTGTTGTTTTAGGAAACGAAGCTGGCGATATGGATAGTGTTGTGGGCTCTATTTGCCTTGCAATGTTCTTGGATTCTCAGCCAGAGTACGGAATGACCCCTGTTATTCCCGCCATCAACTTTCCGTTGGATGAACTACCTTTACGGACTGATGTTTATCATTTATTTCATCAGATTGGATTGGATATTTCATCACTGATTTCTGTTATACCAAGCACCACTACAATAGACCACGCAGGTAACTATTTGGATCTTGTTGACTTACTACCGAATATTGTTCTCTATGACCATAATCAACTTTCCGTTTCTCAAAGCTTCCTCAACAATAATGTAGTTGGCATTGTTGACCACCACTTTGATAATAAGTTATATGTCGAACAAACTAATAGACTACGAGTTATCGAAACGGTAGGCTCTGCCTGCACGTTAGTTGCTGAACTTTACAAGGAGGCTGGTATCACAGTTCCGTACCCTATTTTATTTTTATCGACCATAATTTTGGACACAGTTAACTTTGACTCACAGCAACAAAAAACAACACTTAAGGACGTCAAAATGTTTGAATGGCTTTCTTCAATGATGCCAGAAAAGATAGACTCACATAAAGTATTTGAGAAACTGTCGGAATGGAGAAGGGATATTTTTGGGCTATCACTTGAACAAAATTTCAAACGTGATTATAAATTTTTTAGTTTTGAAATGGGTGACAAGAACTCTCATTTGGATACCGGCATAAGCTCTATCCCGTGTTCCTACGATAAGTTTAAAGATAAGTACACCTTGGAAGAAATAGCTTCTTCTTGCTATCTCTTTTTGATTAGAAATAAACTTGATGCCTTAGTTGTAAGTTTTGCAGGTAAAAAGGATGAAACTCATACGAGGGATATCCTATTTGTTGTGAAAGTGAGCGAATTTCAAATGTTCATAGATTACGCGAATTCATTCCAAAAGCGTCTAATATTCTACCCATCAGACAAGATTGAGATAGGAAAGAGCCATATACTAATTGCCTTCTCTTTAAGCGACACTTCTGTTTCGAGGAAAAGTCTGGTACCGTCACTCGCTAATTTTCTCAAAGGCAAGACTCAAAGTACTCTTTAATATTTTGTGAGCTTTGCTTCTTTTAGTATATAAATATTATGTGATACCCATATTTTAATCTCGAATATAAGTGATTCACATTCTTTCCTCAACTGGAGAAGGAAATACTCCCTCCAAAAAAAGGTTGTCAAAAGTTTAAAATGTATCTGCTTGACCTTCCCTTGCATTAGCTGAAGATAAATTTACAAGGCTGATATAATATCTTTCAAATTACACCAACACAATCTTAACACATCCAAAAAGCAAGGAAATGGCACGAGGTAACCAACGGGATCTTGCGCGTGAAAAGGGAATTAAAAAAAGACAAGATGAGAATAAAGGAAAGCGTAACGATGGAATAACTGCTGCAAAGCGAAAGGAAGTTGATGCTGAACGCATGCGTCAGAAACAAGCGGAAGCAGATGCGAAGAAGGGTCTCTCTGCTTCTGTCTAGAACTATGGAGGTGTGTTTATCACATGTAACATTTGAAACGTGTGATGAATGACTAATTTACTCCCCTTTGAAAGTATTATGTTTATTTAAACCGCATCCTTAATTCAGTTAACCCACCCACATCCACTCATACATCCATAAGAAAAGTCTGCTTGTCATTTTTCTTCCAGTGGAGTAGTGCTAATAATCTCAGATAACATGTGCAGAATTTTTATCAACTGCGTTATGTATTTTTCCATTTTTACCTTTATTACAGTAGTTCATTCATAGGGAAAAGTTTGTTTTCTTAAAATATCTTCATACTAGATACATACTAGAAGGAATAAGATGAATAGAGGGAGCGAAAGAGGGGGAGAGAGAGCAATTAGTTTAGGGTTGCACTGGCGCCAACATCACTGAATAAAAAGATCATATTTAAAGCCTTTGCCCAGAAGCGAATCATTGATTTTATACAAGGTGAAATTTACAACTTGAATGTTCAGGGCAACTTTTATATTGCTTCAGATATGTATCGATGATCATTCACGTTCTAGAATAGTGTAAATCTAAGCATCACATTTTTAACAGGATGTGCTGAAGAAGCCTAGAAAAAGACGAAATATGTATGGTATTGCGTCATGCGTTATATCATGACCCTTTTCCATGTGTTATGTGGACATATGATATATGGAATCTTGTTCCATACAATAACTCATGTTTTTCCACAATCCAATGTATCTTTATATCATGATATATTGAGTTAATGAAGTTTGAAGGCCTCAGAAAGTGGAGATGTACAGCCAGTTGAAAATTCTCGATACATTAAAAAACAAAAGATATCCCTTCTATGATATTTTCTATTTGTTATTTATCTCTTTGGTATACTCAGCTTGGGGTTCGCTGGAAGTGTTGGCTTATATGTTGGTAAGGAATCGTATTCTACACAGCATGCAATATTCTTCACAAATTGGTGATATTTATATATTTACTATTTTAAAACTCAAGTAATAATAAAAGATTGATTTAACCTTTTAGCATGTGAGGAAAAATAATTCTATCTTGCCTTTTCTTATATTCACAAATCCTTCAGAAAGAGGTTTGCAGGACATCTGAACCTTTTTTTAAAACTAGCACTATGCGTCTTGCAAGATTTTTACGTACCAAATGGAGACCATCGTTTGTAGACCACTTGCCTGATCCCATCTCTACGCCTCTCATGAAGCCCGTTGAGGAAACACGAAAACATCATATTCCATTGTCCTTAAGGGCTCGTGATGTGCTTGCAAACCAGTCTAATGATTACCAATACCATGTGGTAACACAAGATTGGTTCGGTCAGCGTGTGGATGACTTTGTTATGCAGCATCATAACGAATGGAGTTATGAAACTGTCAAGCGTCTTGTAGAAAGTGGACATATTTATCGATATCGGAAGAATGGGAAAAAGCGCTTCACACGCCTCACGGATCGTCTTGAATTTGACGAGCTTGTAGTTGTTCCAACGCATGCCTTTTGGCAGCGGGGGTTGGCTCCACCCAGCGGTGTAGAGATGGACACTTCAAAGTCACAGGTGAAGTCCCGCTTTCGATTATCATCTCACGCTAAGGAAAAAGCTCTTGAAATGGTTTTGTTTAAGAACGAGCATGTGATTGTAATTAACAAACCTAGTGGGGTGCCGATGATGCCTACAACTAATCCGTTAGACATGAACATCGCAGACCTTCTTCCAGCATGGAAGTACACTAATACGGTAAATCCGATTGTATGTCATAACCTGGATGCTGAAACGAGTGGATGTGTAGTGCTTGCCAGAACCAAAAATGCTCATCGTATGCTAGGTCGTATGTTTGTTAAACGGGTTGTGCCCACTAGTGTCTATTGGGGATTGTGCTCTGGCAAGCCTGTCGTTAATTACGGACGCATTCGTATGCATTTTGAAGTGCATAAGGGTGATCGAGGTAATATCATTGTGGCTCGACCTTCTCCGACTAAGGACACAAAGGTGGGGATCGCTGAGTTTGTAGTGAACGCGAGCGCGCTGGAGTTTGCTAGTTTTATATCCTTTTATCCCCTCACGAGTCGTAGACACCAAGAGCGGATAATGGCTGCTCATGCTCTGCGATGCCCATTGTTGGGGGATGCTAAATACGGAGGAGAAAACTCTTTTCCACAGTTTCTCTCACTTTTTGGGGATTCCAAAGGCAAAGAAATTTCATTGCATCTACATCACAGAAAAATACAACTTCCATACAAAAATGGATCGGGAGAATTCATTTGTGTAACAGCACCACTTCCTCCACATATGGAAAAAATGTTTTCAAGGCTGGGTTGGCCTGCTAATGCTGATGATCCACTTATTCCTGGGTAGTAGACCATTCCTTGTGTACTTTCTCTTTTTAGACTTTATTGCTTACAAAGGCAATAAAATCGAGCATGAAATTTTGTAGTTGTTGAAAACATTGCACCTATGTAGTATGCGCTCTAGGTTCTTGTCTGCTATAGCTTTGTATTTCATTAAAGTGTCCCTTTACATTTTGATCTTTCTTGATATTGAGTTATTATTGTTCCTATTAGCGTGATGTGTTGTCCAGCGCACTGTAACATTATCAACAAACATTGATTGATTATTATTGTTAAGCTGATTGATATATCTTGGAAAAGAAAGGGTCGTTCAACGGGAATTTATTGAAATTGTTCTTGATTCTTGACTCTCTAGATGCATGAAGTTTATACGGCGGCAAATATTAAACATCAAGATTGGAGAAATCAAATCGTAGACAGCTCAAAATTCTGCCTCTTTAAGTCATCGACGAAAGTGAGCTAGAGTTAATTTGTTCTCGATTAGAGTTAGGGACAGGAGTACCGTCTTACGTTTTTTATAGAAAAATATATATATCTTGAGACGTATATGAATTTCTTAGCTATGACAAGCCTCAACGATGTCTGACCACTGGGGAGCGAGTCGTTAAGTTCTTACAACAAAGGAAAGGGGATAGTCCTGATGGTTTTATCAAAGGTTTCCAATTTGAGCACATTGGGGTATTTTGTGAGGATCGGTTGCATTGCAGCACTACTCTTCTAATGTGGCACACTTCTAGATTCAACACATGGAGCGATAATGTGCTATTTTTCTTGTTTTTCTTTGATATAAATAGCACTAAGCCTCCCTTTTTCTCTAAAAATCTGTCTGATAAGCATCAACCACCAGTTGACTAAGCGCCGAATTGCATATTAGATGTCCAACATGCCTAACGAGATGATAGCTGTCCCTGATATAGAGAACACGTTAATTCATGAACAACTAAACAATGATGCTTCATCAAGTTGTGTTAATAGGGGTGTGGTTGAAGAATATGTATCAGGTTGTGGGATTTTAGCTTACGAGAAACTCGTACACAAGCTATGGTTTCGTAATGAAGGGAGGTCTAGGCTAAAACGGAAACGAGAACCCGCATTAAGGGTAATAAAGCCTCATAACGCTTCCATCTTGCCACCCATGAAAAGGGAAAAGGTGGAGGGGTCAAACTATAAAGCGACACCGATATCATTTCTTCCCAAGGATCTTATAAAGACAGAAACAGAGCTATCAGCCGACCACCCCAACGGGTCTGCTACCTCTGAGGAGTCGAAGAAATCCGATAGCATCGTTCATAAGTACTTCAATTACTATCTACCTGAACAACCGCCTGTGTACAACTCCAAGGAAATTTATTTCCGTATGGCAACTTCAGATGATCGGAAGCAATGGTCTAGCTTGGTTGTGGCCTCATGCCGGGGTAATATTGCGGGTATCGAGATGCAGCTCACCACATTAGAAGCTCCATGCCGCATCGTCGCGGTGAGGGCGTGCGACAAAGCCCTTGTGGGGCTGGTTGCTATGCAGACAAAAGGATGGATTTCTTTTATCGCGTGCGATGTTGACTATAGACACAATGGGCTTGGTTCTTTCTTACTTTTCCTGGCCTTGGAGTGGCTACGGGTGCGGCAGGGAACGTCTGCTTCCCTGACGCCGATCGATCGCTCCGTAATGAATTTTTATTACAAGTGGGGATTTCAAGCATACCCAGCGGAGGGTTCTCGCACCAGACGCCTAAAGAAGAAGCTGGATCCATCCAATATCGTGATGGAGCGGAAGATCGACGCTGATGTGTGCTTGCTTCCTAATGGTAGGCCCCTCAAGTATTATCTGCAAAACTATGATTCGAGTGGTGAGGTACCTAATACATCGCCATGGGCTTATTACTATTACTTCCCAAAGCTACAAAAAACGACGCAATGCTCACTCGACAGCAAATCCAAGCGTAATGGCAAACAAAAGACATTGTCAAGCAAATAGATATAGATTTACCTGAATAATTCGTATTCGCAAAGTCACACGGACGGTTGGGGTGCTTCACAGTGATGTGGTGTGAACTATGAAAGCTATTATGGATACCTTGATTCTGTTCGCTTACGAGTTTCCTATTATTCTTAATTTTATAGTGGGTACGTAGAGTGATCTTTGCATTACTGAACAGCGTAGTACGTAACATCTGTCAACTTTCATGTTTATTAAGAAGTATGTTATGGTAAACTACGTTGTTGGTGCCGCTATTGATTTATCAAGAGCCAATATTCATAGACAAAACACAAGCAAGTGTAGTTGAGATTCAATCTTCCTACAATAGTTTATGTTTCTCATTACTTTCCAGTCCGAAAGAGGTTTGAAAGTCTAAGCAACCGAGTAGGGAAAACGGCAAGCCGATATTCCATTTACTTCTTTGGTTGCTTTTGCTTTTAATTTTATTTTTGCCCTTAATTTTTCTCTTTTTGTTTTTCCGTTATGCTGAGATTCGAATTCCTTGCTTCTTAAGTTTTCCAATTTTTTTTTGTCGTTTGCTTTTTGCTTATCGTTGTTGTTAGGTCAGCGTAACACCTCACAATTTTGATACTGATTACGGCGTAATGCCATACAATGCTGATAGTTTAAATAGACTGCAGATTCGTGAACAGCAGGAGCTCAATCGGCAGCGCAAGATACAGGAGGAGGCTGATAAGCGACAGCACGCGGAAGCCATAGCGCGGTCCAAGGCCCAGTACAGCCACGTGAGACCCCAAGTCTTTGCTCAACCCGAGGCCTCCGACCCGACCACTGCCCCTAACGATGGGCCTAACGGCGATATCCAAATACATGTGTACGTGCGGGAGTGCGACGGCGAGTCCGCGCAGAAATTCACGTATCGCGAGCGTAGGTCTCTAACTGGCAAATCGGAAGTGACACGGATGCATCCCGTGCCTACCGCCACCGCGACGTCAAACCGTGAAGAAGTTTCATCACCTTCTGCCGGTTTAGCATCCTCGTCGACTCTCAGCCTCGGGCGTGTGCCTAGGTATCTCCAAAAGCGTAAGGCAGAGCTTCAGGCGGAGAAACAGGCCATAGAGGATGAAGCGCAACGGCGACGAGAGCTGGCTAAGATCCCACCGGGCTGCCGCCTTGTACCCGATCAGGAGAAGGTGGAGACTCTGAAAAGGTTGGAGGCACGACAGGAGGAATTGGAGATGCAGCTCAGTAAAATTCCGATTCGATTTGACACTCATTCCATCAAAATGCGACGACGAAATATTGAGGAAGAGCTGGCTCAAATAGAAGTTGATAAGCTCAAATACAGCCTCAACAAAACCCTTTATGTCCCGATTAATTGAATATCACCACTTTGCAGGCGACATTTAAGAGTTATAAAAAAAGCTTACACTTTACCCCAAGTCATTGTAATAGAAATAGAGTAACATGAAGAAAAATTTAAGCAGTATCGAGGTGTATACATATATATATATATATATTTGCAAGACTTGCGACACTATATTTCAAAGTGCGTTTGCCTCCAGCTCAACACTTGTAATGAAAAAAGGATTAGATTTTATGATACGTGAGCGAGTGCACATTATTGCTGCAGTCCGAGCAGAGTAATATATTTTTGAGGCCAAGGAAGGATTTCAGTTCTCGTTATAGATTGTTGACGCACCTTGGGTATGCTAATCTTCAGGTTTTAGTTTTATATTCCTTTTGGTCGATTTCTTGAAGTGAGCAATGACCTAACATACTATATCTCCTACTCTACGCATTGGATCAATAAACAAGTGTTAGGAAATCAAAGGAACAGACCTAAATCGCGTGGAATTCCTCTATTCGGAAGTGTGTGTACTCCTTTTCTTGAGTATCTTTTAAGAATGACACTTTTCATGATAGTCCCCCCTTTCTTTTTTGTCCATTCTTATTTGACGTATTCATCTACAGATTCGACTTCAAATATCTTCTGCACGAATTCAAGTAACGCTTCACTATGTAAAAATTTCCACAATTGTTCTGATATCATCTTATCAAACGTGGCACTTTTTTCGGACACAATCGTTGCCCGGCATTCAAAAAGAGGGCGGTGTAAAGTTTCTTCTGCGTTTATGCTGGTAGGATAGCTCCCTTCGTAGAAAGCACCAGTCTATTTCTAGTCGAAAGAGTTCTACTCAATGAGGTCTTTCTTAGTATATCTGGCTTTGCTATTATGTCTCTAGGGTATGATATTATTATTAAGGACGTTTGCGACCCCCTGCTACATGATATCATCCTTACAGACTATTCTGCATAGCCCTAAAAGTATTTTCAACCAAACATACTCCCCAAGCTTCAGGCTGTGGTATGGGTTTATCATTTTGTTACGCCTTTCAAGGTATTATTTTACATAGGTGGCTATGCTGGCAAAGGTAGCATCGTGAGGAAGGGGGTGGTGTTCTTTCAAATGCGTATTTTTTGCGGTCTGATTCCTCAACACAAACGACGCTCCTGATAGTCTTGCTTGCATGTAAATATTGGAGTCTTTATGAGGCCCCACATAACGCGGGACGCACAGTGTTATAGAGCGTTGCGTCTGCATCAAGAGAGCATTATATTCTACGTCACACTGGTCTATTCTCAGAAAGCGAAGGTTACTCTTACGTAGTGTAGCGTTGACCTGAGTTATCTTTTACTCGTTTCCTTTTCCCCCCCACTTCAATTGAAGGAGAATACAACAACATTGTACTAAATAACTCAATGACAGTAGTAATGCTATAATACTTAGCATAGCTCTCAATGCAGGTTTATTAACCCTGAAATTTGAATAACTACTGCTGATATCAAGCATTATTTTTATCAATATAGAGAGGAGGGAGAGGTTTACCACTTTAGATGTGGCAACCTTATTGCTGATGTTCTGAAAGTTTATGAATGGGCACTTTTTCTCCCTCCTTTTGATCTTATCCACATACTTTTCTATTTAATGTTCATCTTTACCATCAAGACACTATCTCTATCAGAGAGAGATTAAAAATAAGAGGAAAACGAGATAAATATGGCCGATGATGATATATTAGAAGATCTTCTGTCGTGGAAGGAGAAATCCACTACACTGATACGTGATACTGGCCTGAAACTACCCACGACACCAACTAACGTTCTTATATCGTCTTCATCCTCCAAAGAGGCCGAAACGTGTCTTTCTATTCCTACAGATCTTAATGCGGAGCTCTTCGATTACCAGCGAGATGGGGTTCAATGGCTATATAAAAAACATTGTAGGGCGCGTGCGTGTTTATTAGCGGATGAGATGGGACTTGGGAAGACCGTCCAAGTGTGTGTCTTCCTGGGGGCTCTTTATTCGCAAAAAAAGATTAAAACTACGATTATTGTGGTACCACCTACATTACTGCCTATGTGGGTGCATGCGCTAGAACAATGGGGACGGTTAGATAATAAGGTGGTCGAGATTGTTCACAACGACCCTAAAGGAAAGCGTGCGAGTCGATGGAAGAAGCTAACCTACGGTCTGCCATGTGTAATGCTCACAACGTATGGTGTGCTGCGACAGGACGCCACCAACATGAGCGCTGTGCTGGTGGACTATGTTGTTCTCGATGAGGCCCACCTTATTAGGGACGCCAGTACTCAGGCCTTCAAAGGCGCTATTACCCTCTCGTCACGACACAAGATAGCCCTCACCGGCACACCACTTATGAACAGCTTTGAGGACATGTGGAGTATTTTCAAGTTCTTGGATGGCTCCATTTTGAACACGAGCCGCTCGGACTTTAGTGCCATTAGTGCAGTCCTCTTGCATGGTAATGAGAAAGATGCGAGTGATCAGCATCGCTTGAGAGCGGAGTCTGAGTTGACGAAGCTGAGAGCTGCCATCAAGCCATTTATGCTGCGCCGGGAAAAGGCGGATGTACAGGCTGTATGCTGTGTCAAACACGACACAGTAGTGTGGGTTTGTCTGAATGAGCTGCAGCGAAAACAGTACGAGCTATTTGTACGAAGCAGGTTTGAAGGGAACACGGTACTCAATCCAAACGGTGATGAAGTGGAGGATGACCTTAGCCAGCTGGATGAATGGGTAAGTGGCGAAGGTGATGCTTCTGAAAAAGGGGGTGACGTCCGACCTCTGGTGCTCCTGACAGCCCTTTCGCAAATATGCAATCACCCCTGGTTTAGCCTCACTGATGCAGGGTTTCATCAGGCTCTGACTAATCCTTTCCAGGTGCCTTGCGAGGAGGTGGGTGATATCTTTGGCGGTCCTAAGCTTAGGGTTGCGCTCCACATCATAACCCGTTGCATTAATGCGTCCCGCCGCAAGTGTTGCGTCTTCTCACGGACGAAACGCACTCTATCGATGCTGGCAGTTCTTCTACAGGCGTGGTCTATCTCATTCACGCGCGTAGATGGTGATGTAAGCAGCCCCTCAGAACGCACCCGCGCCATCCGTGAGTTCAACGAAGACCCACAGCTATGGGTCTGCCTGCTGACCACGCATGTAGGCGGCCTCGGGGTCAGCTTCCACGCGGCCTCCTGCGTTATCTTAATGGATCCCAGTTGGAATCCGTCAGCAGATGCTCAAGCAGTGGACCGTGTTCATCGGATAGGTCAAAAACATCAGGATGTATTGATCTTCCGTCTTTTGACTTGCGGGACAGTAGAGGAAAAGGTTTACCGAAACCAAATCTTTAAATCCATAGCAGCCAAGCAGTCAATGCAGAAGTCTGAGGAGCAGTCGGTAGAGTTCCATCGTTACTTCACACGCATACAGCTGCGGAATATGTTTGAGATTGGGGATCTTGATAAAAGCCTCACAGCAGCCCAGTTAGAGGTGTTGCATTCAAATAATGTTCAGCCATGCGTGAAGGATATCGTCAAGGACGCCCCACTCGTCTGCGCTTTGAGTGATCATGGATGCGTGATCACTGAAGTATCAGCCACGGCGGGAGTGAAGGCTGATTTGATTAAGGAAACAACCACACCTCTGAAGAGAGCTTCAAAACGCACTCGTTCCTTTTCTCACAGCCCACCACCAACACCATGCCGCAGGCTTTCGTCTGCAGGGGGTTTGGATCAAAGTAATCCACTTTCAGCTGCTTCCATGGGGTTTGAATACTCTGAGACAGAGCGACCACCTGCTATGGAGGTGCTTGAAAGTGATGAAAACGCCTTACTTGAGTTATCTAGAGATCAGAACGACGACACTGTGAGGGCGTATGTCAACACGCGTTCGCTTGAGCGTGCAGGTTCGTTGAACTTGTCCGAATCATTTAAGGAATGTGTTGATGAATTCTGAGTTTTGTGAGCAGGAATTTGTATCTTGCTTATTATATACATACATGTATGTTTATCCTTTTTGTATTGTATTGCAGTTTCGTTTTTTCCTTTTTATCAACATCCGAAAGAATAAGTAGATACTTCCTAATTTTTATTTACTGTACAACCTAGCGAACGCTAGATAATAGCAAATATATATATATATATATATATTTCATTTACTCTTGATACTCAGGGAATTCTATCATATGATATTCCACTCGAATGCTAGGATATGAAGTTTCATGGGATGAATCCACGTCTAGAGGGTACTTCCACATTGTACTTCTAACATTTTCCTACAACTGATTGTAAATCTAAACATGTATAACCTATATATTGACTCTTTCTTGTGAAGTGTTTGCTTCCCTCTTCCACTGCTTTTCTTTATGTGTTACTTTCGTCCTCGAAATGTAAGAAAGTCATCGGCCATGTACTCATCAGCTATTTCTCGGATGCTGTTTGGCTTTATTGGTGGGTTTTCTATCGTTCATGCCTTCCTGCCCAGTGCCATGTACACTAATACCGTCCTGAAGGAGAACCATAGGCAATCAGATAACCCAATTATACGTACCGCCACAATATTGCTCGACACCGCTCAAAATTTGACTTCCCCGCTCCTGGTAGAGCGCACTCTGCAGGAGGACATCGACATACTCCGGGGGAGTTACATGTGGACCACCACCACCGCGGTTTTATTACTTGTTTTATCAGGAGGGTTTTATTCTGTCTTGGGTGGTGCTACTTACATCATTTTTAGTAATTCTGACGGTAAAAAACGTTACATCTCATTTAAACGCTGGATTTATAAAACGATTACTCAACAACAAGGAGTGTGACTCCACTAATGAGAACATAGAGTAGACATAAAAGGAATTGATGGGCAAGTCTGCCCTCATCTCTAGATCAACATCCCTCCACAACCTTTACGTCTGCTTCGCATCGGTCTTTCACACGCACCCATAAAGATCTCCTTCATTCCCTCTTCCTGACATTAGCCCTGATTATTCGCAGTTTACTCAACGGTGCGCCCAGTTCTCTTTTTCCTCGTATTTGTTATGTATTGGACAGATACAGAGAACGAGTAATTCCTAGTATAATACACGAAAAAGTAATCATTTCCTTCTTCTAGTAGTTAACTTTCAGTGGGGTGGGAAGGTGTGCAGAGCGGAGGATTGCTGGACTATTTTTTTTTTTGCTAAGCTCCTCCCACCGTTTCCAAAGCAGAAAAGGGTAGTAGGGGAGCATCGCCATTACTGGTATTCATAATTGTATCCCCGTTCACATTGCGATTCCAAACGTATTTCTACTCTTCGATCATTTTATGGCGTAGACACACTCTCTTTATCAGTAGCTCATAAAAAGGCAATAATGATAAAAATAGAAATAATAAACGAGGTATTTTATGGATATTCGGTACAGGTGTGCTTATATTAGAACATTTGAATTCAATTCCTTAACGAATGCTTTAACACAGTTGCTTTTTTTTATGTTTTCAAAAATATTAACATTATGAGACATATCAGATTGCACCAGCGCGGTGATCGAACGATTCTGCCATTAACCAATGCTGTAAGAGGGAAATTCGAACACATAGTGACGATAGTGCAAGTTTGTTATTTCTTTCAAAAAATTAATACCTTTTTAATAATTTTGCTTCTATGATGATTATTTCTAATTTCCTTTATCTTTTAGTGTAACTGACTGCACTTTCCCAGGAAAAGGAAGAGGTGAGGTTTGTTTGTCATAGGTGGGCTATACAAAAAAAAGGGTGAAAACCCATCAGATACATCCTAGAAAGCACGAGCCTAAAAGGGGTGATACATTGATTAATATTAACATTAGCAAGTGCTGAGCACACGTAGAATGAAAAGCCCATTGAATTTGTATGGCCTTATTGCATCCCCCAAGTTCCAAATGTGTGTTGATGCGGCAGAGTATGTAAATAGATCCCACCCTCAGCTTTACTACATTACGGTGTTCCACGAGGTACCCTGTGATTACTACCGTCGCTATAAGAATCTACAGCAGAAAGGGCAGCTAGGCGATGAGGTATCCCCATCTGAAGCGCTACTAGTGGAAGACGGGACGGGGGCCGTGAAGACTTCAGACGAATTCCTTGCTGAGGTGCAGGATAGGACGGCCTTCCGCGTAGAGTCCGTTGACCCATCATTCCCAGACTCGTATGAGAGCAGAGCTCGGACTGCGTGGATGGACTTTTTGACCAAAAGAGGTAACTTGTACAGCTGGATGTCTGTGACAATAGGAGACCGCCCTGTGGGTCGAATTACATTCGAGCTCTATTCGAAAGTATTGCCGAGGACTTGTCAGAATTTTTGGTTACTCTGCCGTGGGGATGTGGGTACCGCAACTTCAGACGAGGACGGTGCGCCGATTCAGTTGGCATACAAGGGCACCACCTTCTTTCGCATCCTAAAGGATGCCTGGGTGATGGGTGGTGACGTGACCGCCGGGCATAGCGGCAATGGCGGGTACTCTTGCTTTGGTCGCTACATACCAGATGAGTCTTTTCATATTGCACACGATGAGCCAGGTGTGCTTGGCATGTGCAACGATGGCCCCAACACCAGTGCCTCGTCCTTTTACATCACTCTCAAGAGGATGTCCTGGATGAATGGGCGATACGTTGCTTTTGGACGTGTCATCGACGGCATGGACGTGTTGGATGCCATTCATGGCGTCGAGACGAGGCACAATCAGTCTCCAAAGGAAACTATTCTCATAGAGGATTGTGGCGTGCTAAACGGGGCGATGTAGATAAACAACGCGGTCAGTGTGGGGGAAGGAGAGGTGGTGCTGAAGGGAGGGAAATTAGCATCTAGGTTCTCACCATGTATATCGGTATCTGCTTATCGTGAGCCAAAAGCAGTCCATCAATTAATATATATTTATATACCCTAGAGAATAATGCGATTTCATTCGCATTTTTTCTTCATATTTGCTTGAAATGGCTACGTAACGTCTTATTTTATCCTTTCAACATACATATACACATAAAAAAATTTCATTTTCTTTCCTATTTTTTACCTTTTGTGTAGTCCATTCTCACGAAGCCACTTGTGTAGAAGAGGTTAATTTGTGTATTGTAGTATTCCAGGTGTAGGATTCTCTTTATTTAGAAAGACGGTCCTACTCATATTTTTTTTTATAAAATTGAAAGGAAAGGCACTGTTATCACTACAGGTGAGGCTTGTGGTGCGATGAAGAAGTTTATAGACGACAAGAATCTCGAAAAACTAAGGGCTCAAGGGTATGGTAAAGCTAGGGCCACGCAAGCGCTCAAAGATGCTGGGGGTAATTTTCAGCTCGCTTTGAGTATTCTTCAAAAACGAGAGGAGCTCACCACAAGGAATCAGACACAGCACGCCGCCAGACCATTTTCCGAACCCGCGCGTGCGGAGGTGGAAGCTGTTAAGGAAAGTAACACCGTGAAGGTACGCAAGCACCCCTGCATAGTACAGTACAAGTCGTGTTGTTTCGGGGAACACTGCCGATTAAAAGACTACCCTGGCGACACATGCATTAACTATATGAGCGGGACCTGCTTATATGGCAACTTCTGTGTTCATCGGCATGCCATCGATGGCATTGACATCCGTAACCACCCTTCCCTGAAGATGAACAAATTTTCTTACTCCGAGGACGGCGAGTCGCGTAATCTATCAGGA